AACATGTAGTGACTCGGATTGAGTCCTGACTCTCGAGTCCCTATCTATGTATGACATACTGACATTGTCAGTATGTCATCAGCTCGCAGATTCTTCAAGGTAGCTTGGACCTTGCTGGTGGTTCATTGATGATGGTGATGCTATGATGATGATGATGCTATGATGATGTTGACAAGATGCATTCAATGCATTTATTGGTAATAATACCAGTTTTGCAAGGTTAAATAGAAAATGGAAAAATAGAAAAATGGAAAATTTCGATACGAATTGCATTCTGCAGGTTGATTCGGGCAAGTAAACTAAATCGGATGATTATTTTAATCGGATATTGTTAAATGTTAATGTGTATGTGCATGTGAACTAATATGTGTTCACATGTAGATAACTATTCTTCAATAAACTTTGAGCTTCATGTAGTAACTAATTCGCGGATGTAGTTCGCGGATGCAAGCTTGACTTAAAATTAGGTCTCGATGACATAGTTCGCCACCCGCATTTTAGCAATTATCCAACAGGGGAACATGTCCCGTCACCCCCTTTATCCCATCATATGTGAAAGGGAAATGCCGAAGTGTTATTATCACTGGTAGATCTTTCAAACCGAATGAATGAATAAATGAATGAGTGGTCTCGGGGTAAATTTGAAATTAATGATGATAGTGGATGAGAAAACCATTGGTAAAACACAAGCAGACCACAAAAATGCAGATCAAAACCATGACTGGGACACATAAGACATATGCAGCCTTGTAGAAGAACGGAGGTTCATGCTATGACGAAATGACGCACTAGTACAAAAGATATTGAAGAATGAAAAAGCGTAAAAGTGATGCCATCAAAAAAGCCTTGAGAATATAATAGTGGAGAAAAATATTGAATGAGCAACAATAAGCAATTAAGAAGACATACAGAGTATTCGGGAACAATTCCCACAAGCGAGAGAAGGAGTACAGTAGTGAAATGATGACTACCTGGAGAGATAGTGTATAGTAGTAAAATGATGACTATCTGGGCCTGAAAGAAATTTCATCCCAAAGGATTTCTTTGCAGTAGTTAGATCAACCAAGGTAATACTATATGAGGAAACGTGGGGAAATGAAACCCAAAAAACGATTTTTGCAGAATCATTTACCGGGAGGATGATGAACCATGTGAACTATTTCCCTAATAGGAAACGATTAAGAAGGTTTGTAGTCATGTTGAGCCTGTTGAGGTCGATTTGCTGGTGGCCATTTAAGGAATTTTCTATATTGCATTTCGAGCCGAGTCTTTTGCCTCTTCAATTGTTCAATTGTATGCTCATGATTTTGAGTCTGATATCCTCTTAACTCTGATCCAAAAGCTTATGTATGGTCGTACCAAGATTCGGACAATAACCGTTCGAAATGAGTAAAGTTGTACGGACACGAGTAGATAGTAGTATATTTCCCGCCTTGATCCGATTTGCCATTCATTTGTTACTGTATCTCTGTGTTGCACCTCTCTCACCATGTAGATAGATGTAAGATATCCATATAAATTTAGTAAATCGAGCATAAATCTTGGTAAAAGCAATGAAAATAACGGTAAAACAAGTACATAGGTAAGCATTGAAATGTCGAGACTTGAGATTGAAAAAATGATGTTTATGACGAAGAAGTGATGATCATCGGGCGCGGCCGCACCAACCAACAAGCAACTTGCATAGGATGGAACATGATGACATCAGCAGGACTCCTCCTTGGCACGACGTATTTTCCCAGCCATTACAAGAAATTTGTTTGGTTGATTTAACGAGATATGATGGATGTGATGAACAATTGATCCGAAAATATGATTTCATTCCCGGTCCGGTATCATTCTAGTGCTTTGCGAAATGTGCCTGGACATGATGAACATGATATTATGAATATGATGATATTGGTCTGACCATGAAACCATGAAACCATCTATTAAATTTGGGATTTGCGTGTGCATGGAAAGATGCATCTCGACTCTTACATATTGGGTGGTCTAGCTCTTTGCTTATATTGGAATGAATCGAGTAAGGTTACTGAAACATGGTAAAGATTTGCACTATGACATCTCTGATCATCATCTCACAAGTCTGGGGTAAGATGATGATTTGGATGATCTCTACTCCGTACACCAGGATACCGAGGTTTTCCTTTAAGCATTGGTGATCTGTGGATTGATTGATTGATTGATGATTGATTGACTGATGGATGTTTGTTTCGGTCGCAACATTTGAATTGTCCGTGTTGAATTTTTGAAAGATTGCTTGTTTTCACGGGAGAATTGTTTAAAGTTTTCACTAAGCTGATTGACTGACTGACTGCCTGTGCCACCTAAATTTCGATATTGTAAAATATCGGAAACATGGATGTGGACTTTTCAAAAATGGGATTTTGGAGATGGTGAGATGAGAAATTAAATTTTTGGAAACTTTATTTGGGTACATGTGACGGGAACTCGGTGAAGGTGCGAGGTGTGTTTGACATGATGTACATACATACTACATGGTACATACAGAGTAACCTTACTCTGTACATACAATCTACCCGCGATAGGCGACTCCGCTTAGAATTCTCTGTTTGGTTTGTACTACATACATACGACGATACTACATCTTTACTATATCCATACAACATAGTACATCCATACTTCCACTACACCATACAACTTACTACACCATCCATCCATCCATGCTACACGAGTAATCTAATCCAAACCTTAGTCAATCAAAGTCCCTAGATACATTACACTAGCTTCCCCAAGTACAATTGCGTACTCTTCTACATTTGTTTCAATAATCTCATAGGCTAGAAAGTGGCCAACGCTTCCCGACTACGCATGACGCTGCTTGCATCAACGTGCATGTCATGATCTGCAGGGTCTTTCCTCTTTCATCCCTCGACCACTTTTAACTTTTGATCTTGGAGAGCTATGACCCGGATCTCAAGGGAATACGATGATAATATTGGATGATAAGCATGTGTGATGTGTTTAGCAGTCAAGGATCTTTTCATCGTCACCAAAACATTTTCACACTAATTCTGCTAGCTGCTTGTTAGTGTTTTGTTAGTGTTTTGTTAGTGTCGTTCTCCTGTTTTTCAGGGTCTAACTGTTTACTAGGTGCATACGGAGTAAAATGTGTATCAATAAGCTAATATAGAGATGTCGGAATCTTATATATTTCCCAAGAAAGTCTTTATGATATTTCCTTTTCCTTATTTCATACATACATTCAATCAATCAATCAATCAACATTCAATTCATCAGCTTCACACATCTACATAAAAGGAACAATCCACCAATCCAAACAAACATTCAATAAAAAGCCAACCCTACATTCAAACACACAAATACTTTTCAAACAACTCTCCATCTTAAACCGCCTCAACCTTTCAAAACAACCTCCTCAACTTCACCACCACATCAAAATGTCCACCACAACAGTCTCCTATCCATCCCCCAGTCTCTCATCCCACGAAACCCAAGACATAGACTCCCTCTTCACCTACGCCAAATTAATGCACGAACACACACGCAAACAAATGGAAGCAGCCGATCGATCTGCGCGTAGAGAGCGCCAACGCTGATGGTACGAATGCTCATGCTACGTTGAGAAGTGGTCATGAGAGCTCGACGGATAGTGCTTCTCCTGCTGGTTCGAGATAGGATTGATGGGGATGGAATTTAATGGAAGAGAAGGAATGGGAAGAGATCTTGGGATATGAGTCGTCTGTTTGATGTGCGAGATTTCTACGGATGAACGCTGCTTTGATGCGAATTTTTTTTTACGAATTTTTTTTATATCGTGAGGGGATGGGTTATTGTATTATTATCCGTCTTGTTATTGATATTGATGAGCATGGATGGTTGTTTGGGAAAAGGGCATACACATGGAAACTGTGGCGTTTGGTGTCTTTGGGGTATGATATTGTATGAATAGGAGTCGGTTGTCTGAGCGAGGGGTGTTGTTCAAACGTGAGGGGCAACGAGGGAGTTGGTTAGGATCTGCTGATGGGGATGTGATGATGATGTGGGAGGTGGGGGGAGATTTATTTGTGGCCGGTTTCACTAGAGATTCATTATCCAACAGTGACAGGACGATGAATGATGAAATAGAGAGTTTATACCATACCAATATTTTCTTTTTGAGTTTGAGTGGATTTTTTGTGTTTGATGTTTGATATCTGTGATGTAATGTTTATGGATTTGATTGAAAAATTTGAAAATTGCACTTGGTAGGTGGTTTTTCTAAGACGAATTCTTTATCTATAGTAACCTTAGATATTCATCTTTATTTTCCCAATTCTTCTAAAGTTCAAAATCATATCCATCAGCTCAGCTCAGTCGACCTGGGGACTCATTTCTAGATATTAATCTCATCTCAACTCGATTCTCTCCACCCTCAATCTTTCTTGCTTCATATTTATACCACTAGCCAAAAAAAATAAAGACAATTTTATATATTTATATCTTGTGACGCCTCACACCTCCGGGTCACGTGGCATGCCCCGTTTGTATTTAATCATAGGAAAACTCTCTACTCTTGTTTTCCTTCTTCTTTTCTCCTTAGCTTAGTATTTTCTAATACAAGATACTTTACCCAGTATTCTTGAGTGTGACATATCTAATTTTTAATTTATATATAAAAATTATATTTTTATATTAATGTTTAAATTTCTATTATCGTGAATTAATATAATCAAAATTAGCAGAATAAAAATTATAAAATTTACTAATAAAAATACTCAAAATTTTAAATTATCTCAATTTTTTTAATTTATATAATTAAAATTTAAAAATAAATCTTAATAAATATTTTTTTTAATTTTTTTTTATATTTTCTGTTGAATAAATATAATTAATTTATTTCAAAATTTATATTAATAATCGTTTATAAAATCATTTCAATATTATAAATTCAAAAGTATAAAATATACCTCTGGCTCTTTTTGATAATTATACTTTTATATTCCGGCCTTTGTTTTTTTATCGGTCGCTATAGCTAGGAAGGTTCTCAGATAAGAATGGGTGTGACCAAAAGGGTGTTTATAGACCAGCAATTGTATTTAACTTAGAATCTACAGGTGAAGAGCACCTGTAGATGGGGATAGTGTTACGAGGTTTGCCGTCTAGATCACGTGGAAGTGCTCTAGGCTCTCGAGGTGGTTTATAACTAGGCATCAAGCAGGGACTTAAGTAATGACAATAATGAAATGCAATTCGTAACTAATAGTAGGATATACTAAATGATTGATCTTGAGCACGAAGCTCTATACAAAGGAAATCCATCTTGATTATATAGTCCTTCATGCTTCCATGATTACTAGTGATCCTTCATGATCATTAGTGATCATCTATATCGTGATCCTTAGTGATCCTTAATGATCACCAGTGATCACCTATACCGTGATCCTTAGTGATCCTTAATGATCATCAGTGATCACCTATACCGTGATCCTTAGTGATCCTTAATGATCACTATTGATCATTTGTGATCACGTGTCTTGGTAGTTGTGTAGCCCGTCGTAACAGATAGCTACTCTATATATACACAAATGAATGGCCTAGCCGCAATGGCTAGGCAAAAAGAAGTCATATTTATCCCTCCAATGATCTTACTTTACCGATAACCATTGATACCTAGTACTTGTCCGGATCTGATCCTCAGGTCACCTAAATCGCATACTAATCTCGAGTAATCGTATCATGTGTGGACATGGTTAATGTACCTGAGGTTTCTTAAATAATAAAGGTGGGAGGAAAGCAGGGATTTCCGTCACAATGGGAAACACTTTTTTTTTGGTGATAATGGTGGGGAATAAAGGGGATATTTTTTGTGTAGAAGGTAAATGAAGCCAAGGGACGATAATATAATATATCATTGTGAACTCTAGAATAGATGGATTAGGAAGGGGGATTAATAAACTCGCTTGATTTTGTATACGTAATTACCTAGTAGAATAGCCATATTTTTCACTTCCAGTTCTTTCATTAGATATCTAGAAAATACTAACAAATCATCACTCCACAACACAGTCTAAACAACAACCCACGATAATATTACATCATCAGCTGAAATCTCAACACATATGAGTACAAGAATCATCAATCTCTCTCCAGCTCATCCGAGCCCCTTTTCGCCCCATAAATAATTTAAATCGTCTACTAATTTGCCGACTAACTAGCCGCAAAAGATACACAGGAAGTAGGTGCTATTATTAGTAATTGAGGTATTCGTATACTCAAGGGTAAATGGATTTCGGGTACTGGATACTAATGTGTTCTCTCAATTAATTTCTATTCAAGCATTTTAAGGATTCGCTTGACTGGACTTTATGTACCCTCGAGCTTGCTCGATACCTTTTAGAATATTTTGATGGTTATTTGGAAGGATCCTTGGTCGTGGCAATGTTTGTTTTCATTGCACCACGGAGGTGTCTGCTTCATTGGATATTCTTCAGGTGCTATTTTGAGGTTATAGTGTTGGGGGTAATTGGAGGGGAGTCGCTCATGGTTGGTGGACACGTAGGATTTGAAATGATTGAGGTAATATAGCTAGCTATTGAGTCAAATATATGAAAGCTATCAATCGTACAGATAATTTATAAGAGTATCCACCTGATATTTGTCGATCAAAGAGAACTGCCAAACGAAAACCAATATCAAATCTCACATCGCAATATCGTCAAGCTTTCGCGGCAGGAATTTTAGCCATAACTTTCCAAGCTTAACAGCCAGATAATCCCTCCACTCGCTTTCAAATACTGCCTCGTCATACGAGGGACCAAATTGAATATCAAATGTGCGAAATATACGCGCAACTATCAGACGAAGTTCCTGAAGCGCAAGAGTTTTGCCTACACACTTTTATGATTGTAAGTTTGGTATAAGTTTCAGGTAAAATGAATATGTGTGATACAGGATCAAAGGAAAGGAGTTAAGAGTAAAAGTTGACCGCAGAACAAATATCGCTACTCACCGAATGAACACCATAGCCGAAAGGTATAAAAGCCCTTCTATCTTTCACCAGCTCTGGTCTTTCAGACGTCCAACGTTCCGGAATAAATTCTTTACCCTGCGCGAAGTATCTCTCATCTTTCATGAGTGCTAGTTGTGTAATCTCTACTTGTACATTCCCTGGAATGTATATGTCCCCCACTTCAACACCTTGTGGATAAGTTGCCGCATGTGCACCAGATGGTACAGGGTTATACAATCGTAAACCTTCGTTAACGACGGCATTCAAATATTCCAAGTTTCGGATAGAATTTATAGTTATTTCGCTGCCTTTGCCCATCGATATACATAATTCATCGATTTCCCTTTGAAGTTTACAGAGGATCCGTGGTTCCTTGGCCAATGCCCTCAACATTTGTGCTACCGTGGAAGATGTTGTATCTGTCCCAGCTACAATGATTAAATTGGCATTAGAGTTCAACTCCTTTTGCGTAAACTTCTCGCCACCTTTTGAATCTACTGATAATAAATAGGAAAAGACGTCTCGATAAGTTGAACCGCGTTCTTGTCGTTCTTTCAGCATTGCTTCGCCTTTCTCCCGGAATTTTCGTATTTCGGACGTTTCAGGGATATAGGCAAGAAGTTGGGCTATATTTCGTAGAGCTCCGATCATCTATGATAGTTAGAGATAGTTGGCACAGGTAGTAGCTACGCACAGCAGCGAATGACATATACTTGTGGATATATGACATGTATGAGTTGTCCCCCGTACCATCTTGTAGGCCAGCATGTTTTGAAAAACTCAAGTCCGCCATGCTTGAATAAGTTAGATTCCACGAAGTGGTCTTCGACAATGGGGTAGGGGCTTACATACATGTCAAAATTAAGATTGTCCACTGCGTTTGAAATATCCACTTCCTTTCCGTCTTCTTTGAGCAAAATTTGTACCAATTTATCTACATGGATTTCTACCCTAGTGTTATACTCCCTGCAAGCGTTGCCCACAAATGCTTTCTCCCTATCCAAGTTAGAACCAAACCATTAATAATATAAAAATCTCACCATATTCTTCTCCACTGTCAATGTATGTCAGTATGGAGTTGACCTTATTCGCGTGTAAAATTTTATATCAACACTGATGTAAACCACTTACAGGAGTGTGTTTTCCATAATCTCTGGTGGTGTTCAGAGCCAGCTCTCCATTGATAGCTCCTACTTCATAAAGTGTACCCCGTGGATATTTCCCAGCGAATATTTTGGCCACCGCGTCCACATTGACGACAGAAACATCGTTAGGACCTATTCTGACAACATCACTTTTGTATTTTCGGTGTAAGGCCTCAACTGTATGGAATGTCCGACCGAGTCGATATTCATTGGCAATAAAGAGTTTACTAAGAGCAAATCGTCTTGGTCCAGGAATGTGAGATAACGGAGAGAAGTATAAACGCCGAAATGCAGTAAGAATGAAAGCCGTAAGAATAAATATTGCATTCAATGAGGATAAATGAATGATAGCTTGGGAGCATCCCAGCCTTTGTAAAGATAAAGTATGGAAAGAGGATGCAATTGGTTGAGAGATATGTAGAAATAATTATTATGGTGGGATGGTTCGGGTATGGGAGAAAGGAGAGCTTGGCATCCGGGTAGCCACCCACCATAGTTGTGAGAATCTCTGCCATTGTTAACGTCACGGCCATGATACTAGCATACCTCGTTGATAATGAAAAAGTAA